AATATCGTACGGCACCCTTATAGAAAGGACCAACAAAAAGGGACCCTAATTTAGAGAACTACCCACATAGTTTTCCTGAGGAGCCTCCTGCCTGCCGCCCAGTCCGAGCGACTCCTCTGCGATCAAGTCAGTGATGTCTTGCAGACTGGCAGCCGTCACTACCCTGGTCGCTCACGCGTGCCCGATGTAGTCCCCACTGTAGTGTGGGAAGGTCAGGTGGGGCCTTAACAATTTGATTCGGCGTCGACTAAGAGTTCGATTTATACGGGGTTTCAAGGGTTTAGGGCTGTAGCGGTTATGAAAGGCTGCAGGGTATCGTATGTTCTAAACTAAGTATTTGTTCAACTATAACCTATGACTCACTTATGACGCCGGCCCACTCCGTAAACCCAAGATTCTGAACTCTAATCACCCTCAACCCTTCGGGGAACCCTTGTAGAACTCTTCAAGGAACCCTTCGACGAAGCCGACACCCCGAACCCGTGCCTTAAGTCATAATCATAAACCACAGGGTTTAGGGTTTAGGGTTTTGGGTTAAGGGTTTAAGGTTTAGGGCACCAAGACGGTTCACATCCCGATCGCCTAAGCCTTTTAACCCTGACCCCGCTGGCATTGAATCCCATGCCCTTAACGATACACCCTCAAAATGTCTTCGTCCGACCAAGGAGCCTGTAGCCGGGGTTGCCTGGGCCGAGCTAGCAAGTTTCTTGTAAGAACTTTGTAAGGGGCCTTTTTTAGGGGCTTAGATAGGATCTAATATCAATGTTGGTGGCGCTGATGGCTTTACTGTTTGTACAAGGGTTGCATAGGACTTCATGATTCTTGTGGTTTTGGGGTGGGCTTCTACAGGGCCGCCCACGGTGGATTTTCGGGCCTTCAAGCCGTGTGGGGTCGGAAAAATCGCCCTAAACCCTAAACCCTAAAAGCCTAAACTCGAAACCCCTTAACCCTAAACCCTAAACCCTTGGGGCTTCAGGGCTTTGGAACCCTAAACCCAAACTATTCAGGTCCAGGTTCTTGTCTGTAGCTCTAAACCTGGCAGAGTCGAAGCCTCAGGTAGACCCTGAAGCGATCACCGAAACATAAGTCCTTGAACCGCTATGTAGATCCCAAATCCCCTATAGACGCGAAACCCTAAACTCTAAACCCTAACCCCTCTTTCCCTCAACTCTATAAGGGCTTCAAGTTTAGGGTTCGAAGCCCCCTGACAAAAAAGTTGACTCATCCAGCCGTCGTGTCAGTTAATTCCAGGTTCACGTAAGAGAATGAGAGCTAAGGTTCTTTACGGATTCAGATCTGAATAGTCTGACTCTTTCAAGAGTTTTGTGAACCCTAAACCCTAAAGACTAAACCCGAAACCCCTGAACCCTAAACCCTAAACCCTTGGGGCTTGAGAGCTTTGGGGTGTTTAGCCCAGCCTTTCGGGCTTTGGGTAGGGCTTTATTTTCCGTTCGGAGATTGGGATTTGGTCCTTTTGTGCTTCAGTTTTTTTTTTTTTAAGGGCTCTTGTCGTCTGCACGAGTCTCGAGACTAGGCATCAGAATCCCCTTTTGGGGCGAGCAGTGAACAGTGATGTTTGTTTCACTGTCGCACAGGTTTAGAGCTTAGGGTTTAGGGTTGAAGGCTTAGCTCCGGGTCTAGGGTTCAGGGCCCCGCTTCAACCCCAACTCAATGCGTGAAGCCCAAAGAACTACATCTAAGCCCAAAGGAACTTGACCCTAAACCCTAAACCCTAAACCCTCTTAAACCCTAAACCCTAAACCCTAAACCCCAAAACCCTAAAACCCCAAAAGGACTACAGGTTTTCCTTGACCCTAAACCCTAAACCCTAAACCCTAAAACCCCAAAAGGACTACAGGTTCTCATTGACAGTCTTGGCAGTCACAGACGAGCACCCTGTGCACCCCTACGTAAGCCGAAGCCTAGACTCCGGAATCCTGTACCTCGAACCCCATAACACCATTAAGGTTTAGGGGCTTAGGTTTAGGGTTAATTAAGGGATTTGGGGTTTTGGGGGTTTAGGGGTTTAAGGGTTTGGGGTTTAGGGGTTTTGGGGTTGAGGGTTTAGGGGTATAGGAGGTTTAGGGGTTTAAGGTGTCATTCCACTCCCAGCGGCATTGATAGCACTGATCATCCGCGGTTCGGAGAGCCGGCTGAGTACAAATGCGGCATTTGTCCTCGTGTGCCGTCCCGTGAAACTGCAGACGTTTTGGGGCATTACCTGGATCCCGAAAGTATGTAGAATAACAGTCTTTTATAAGGTTTGGGCCATTATTTTACCTAAACCCTAAACCCTAAACCCTAAACCCTAAACCCTAAACCCTAGGTAAGGGCTTAGGTTCCAGCAAGGGGTGTTTAATTAGCTACGCCGAAAAATCTGCCACCTTAAACCCTTTAGCGTTGAGGGTTATTCAGGAATTTGGCCAGCGAGACCGACACATGGGCTTGCCCATGGCCCTAAACAACGAACCCTTGCCCTTACCCTAAACCCTAAACTCTAGGCTCTAAACCCCAGGCCCTAAACTCTCAACCCTAATATAATTACCCTTAACCGCTAAATGCCCCCAGCCCTGAAGCCGTAAAAGGTTTAAGGAGCCCTGAAGACCCCAAAAGACCTGCACCCAATGCACCCCAAGTTGCCCTGAACCCTCTAAACCCCAAACACGCTCGCCCTAAAGCCGTCATAGCCCTTCTAGAAACCTCCTAACCCTGTCTAGAGCCCTTATGAAATCTTGACGCAAAAAAAACAAAACCCTGAACTGTCAGTTGACAGAGGCTCAAAGCTCATAATGCAGGGGCCTTAATGCCTTAATAATTAGAACAGGGTTTTGGGGGTTCCTGATTATACTTATGGTATTATCATATTCCCCAACCCTATTGTAATCATTAAGGCCCCTACAGTATATCCTCCAACGGTTTAGGGTTTAGCAGGGCTTAGGGCTTAGGGCTTAGGGCTTAGGGCTTTAGGGTTTAGGGTTTAGGGTTTAGGGTTTAGGGTTGAGTCTAAACCTAAAGCGTTCAATCCCAGGAGTCCTCGGCCCCCACGCTGCAGCTAAACGGGACGCATTTCGAATCCGCGGAGAGCTTGAATCCCTGGTTGCCTTTGTTTGAGAACCATGGGCTTGAGTAGGCTTTTTAGGAGTCTGGTAGGAGACACCCTAAACCCTAAACCCTAAACCCTAAACCCTAAACCCTAAACCCTAAACCCTATAAGGCTTAACAGGGCCTTTACCGAGTTTGGGTCTGGCTTCGGAGTGAAGGAGCTCCATCACTTCCTTCCCCAATAAGCCAGGGGAAACAAGAGGTTAAATTTTCAGGTTACTACTAAGTTATTAGAACCCAAAAAGTTTAAAGGTTGGATATTGAAGAACTAAGATAAGGGTCTTGTAGGGAGTTCTGTAAGAGTTTCATAAGTTTTTGATTGGCAGGGGCGCAAAGGCCTTCGGTAATTTCAAGTGGTAGAACTTCTTAGCGCTTGGGGCTTCAAGGAGTGTCAGGATACAGCAGCAGGGCTCAGGCTACTCGGGGTTTGAGCAGCTCGGGCCTTTTTGTTAAATGGTTTTGGGCTTCCCCCCTGTATCATCCTTGGTCTGGCAACCCAAATCCCTACCACAACCCCCCCACTGCTGGTTGCAGCAGTAAAATCTTTATTTTTTTTTCGGGGCTGCAGCAGGTTTCAGTTTAGGGTGCAGGTTTTGAAGCCGGGTTCAGGGCTTCGGCTCACAGGAGTTTCGGGATAGGGCTTTGGGCTGTCGCAGGACTTTATAGTAATGTAAGATAGGGCACGAAGATTTAGCAATATCATCTCCTCAAAGCCCCTAGGTTTTTCTGTGCTGTGCTATGCCCCAAGCCCTATTCCATAATCACTAAAGGCGCTATGCCCCTAAGTATCAAAAAACTGTAAAGCCCTTGAACGAACCCTCGAGGTTCAGAGCTTGAGGTGTTCAGGGCTTCAGGGGTTTAGTGTTTAGTTGTTTAGGGTTTAGGGGTTGAGGGGTGAGGGTGTAAAGGTACAACAACCTTGAAGCCTCCGAAGCACAATGCGACAACCATCGAACAACACCGATGAACACCTCTCAGCGACAAAGATGTGATGCACACTTCAAAACACCCTTGTAGAAGATGACTGTCTGCCCGAACCATTTGAAGCGAAGGCCGTTGAAATCGCCACCAATCTCAACTAGCACGTTCGAACAGCGCTGAAATACATGCGAAACCACGATGACTCTACCACAACAGCATACCTTTAAGCAGTTTCTACAGAACTCTAAAACTATGTAAAGAGCAAACTCTGCTAAGCCAGAACACAGCAAAACCCGAAACCTTGATCTGCAGCCCCAAACCCTACGCAAAGCCCTTCAAGTGATTCTTCAGGCTGCAAGTCAGGCATTGATCCACCACACGGCGCTTCTCGAAGACCTCCGGAGCAACTTTGGCTGCTTTTGTTTCGCTGTTGTTTTGACTTTTGGGTGTAGTCGTAATTGAACAAAAATAGGTACAAGCAAGGCATAGGTATGTATATATGTATATCTGTAATATGTATAATGTATACACACATACAGACAGACGGACAGAAGGACTGACGAACGGACGGACGGACGAAAAGACGGACAAACGGACAGACAGACAAACAGACCGACGGACTGACGGACAGACAGACAGGCAGACAGACAAGCAGGCAGCAAAGAAAGCAGTCAGGCAGACAGAGAGACAAACATAGACAGCTTTACGAATCAACCTGTCTATCTGTCTGTCTACCTCTCTCTGTCTAACTCTCTCTCTCTCTCTCTCTCTGTCTACCTACCGTTCTATCCAGCTTTCTTTCTTCTGTCTATCTGTCTCTCTCTATCTGTCTATCCGTCTTTCGATCTGCCCAATCCATCTGTCTGCCTATTTATCGACTTGTCTGTCTGTCTACCTGCCTATCTATCTACTTATCTGTTTTCATCTGTCTATCTATCAAGTGCTACAAACAAACATATGTATCGTTGTATCAGATATCTCTCTATGTCTGTAATTACTGTTATAGTTTTGGGTTCAACTGATTTTCGCGGCTGCCGCAACAAAGGATAAATGCCTACATACCAGGCCTAGTCTGCCCATATTGGGGGACAGCTACATTACAGAAAGGTGGATTGAATGAAGGTCCGGCCCAGACTTTAAACCAGGCCCTAAAAACCTAAACCCCTAAACCTCAGTTGCTAGTCACGGTGGACTGAGAGAGAGGTCTGAGGAAGTAGTACTGAAACCCGATACACAAAAACGTCCCTTGTCAGTCAGGGTATGAGGGACTTGAACGATCTGGCAACACCCTGTCCAATTAGGTAATTCTTCAGGCAGGCACCCTAAACCCCAAACCTGTGAACCCTTAATTTCAAACCCATAAACCCTAAACCCTAGCAAATACAGTGTTGCGGACTTGGGATTGCTGCGCCGACGTCCCGCCTCACACTTGGCACAAAGGCTGCCCTCACCCTCGAGGCATGTCAAGGCTTCGCAGCTCCGCGCGGTCAATGCGTATCCAGGGTTGCACCTAGGAGCAATCCCAAACGGTCCAAGTACTATAGTAAACCCCAAAAAGTTGGAAACCCGATTAAGGACAAATACTGCTGGGCTTCCCTATACATTAGTCTTACGGATTGAGGCTATCGGGTTTCCAACTTTTGGGCTTCTACTACAATATGGTAGCTACTTATTAGATATTTGGGTCCCCAACAGTATAGACTATACTATGACTTGGACCCTTTGGGAATGTTTTGGGTATTTTGGGATGAGCTCCTATACACTGAATCCGTAACAAAATACCCTCAACCCCTAAACTGAACCCTCAACCCTAGAAACGCAAAAGACCAATCTACGTTCCGAGGGTATAGGATACATTAGGGTTTAGGGTAAGGGTTAACGGGTTCAGGGTTAAGAGTTTAAGGTTAACGGTTTAGGGTTTATAGGGTTTAGTTAGGGCCGGGTCTTGTTGAGCTTCAGCGGGCATGGGGTTTGCCTGGGACCGCCCCGGCTTCACTAGATTGCGGTAGCGTAGGGGCCCAAGAGCCCGTAACCTTTGATGATAGTGTGTGCGTATATAAATAAACCAACAAATAAATAGATCCATATACATATATATATATATACACAGACTCCACATCCACCCTGCAACCTAATTAAACCATTTTGCCAACATGAGAGACAACGACCAAACGAGGACATAAACCTAGCCAGAACCCTCCAGCCCATCACCTTAAACCCCCGACCCCCAAAACCCTAAGCCCTTACAATCCGAACCCTAGTGGCCCCCTAAACCCTAAACCCTAAATCCGAACCCTAGTGGCCCCAGCAACCAAAACCAAAAAAACGGCCAGGAGACGCCGAGCATTGGTTCTCTCCGGTGCGATCTTCCGGTGCTGCGCACTCTCTGCAGGCCTCTTCGGCTGCCCCCGGGATCTATCAGTTTTTCTGTTGGGGGGTTCCTTTTTGGGGGATCTAACAGTTTAACAGGGTATTTATGGGACGAAAAAGGGTACTATTATGGAAGTAGGGTTTTGTGTGTTTTGGTCTTTGGGGCTACAGGACACAAGACCTAGCAGCAATAAGACAAACCACAAAACCTGAAAACAGTGCATCCCAGGTTTACCTTTTTTAAGGGCGCCTAGACATGTTTTCTGCTCAGGGTGATTAGTTGCCTCTCCTGTTGCTGCTTTTTTTCCAGAGGCTTAGGGACGTCTGGTGCTTAAGTTGGGCTGTCACTGTGTATTCAGACCCTGCTAAGATCCTTCGAGACCATATGACAGCCCTACATATAACCCCCTATAACTGCCACTTCCCCTGAACCCTGTACCCAAAACCCTAAACCCTAAACCCGATACCCTACACACTAGACCCTACACCCTAAACTCTACAAGCCCTCTGTACTTTGGCTACGGCTTCAGAGGACGATCCGAGGATCTTCCGACCTTACTGAGTCAACACGATCCCTTTACAAAACGTGACATATAACATTTCAATAAAACGCAAGGGCCTCAAGCAAAGGAGTCAAAACGGTTCCTTAAAAACGTGACATGGACATTTGTAGTTAGAATCACAGGGGCCTCAAAAGTGACGTAGAATATCGGGGCAGAACTACTCTTAATCGTAATGGGGCACCGCTAGGAATTCCTTTGCTGAGCATTCCGACGCTCATCTGCTTATCTCTCCTGGTCCTCAAAATATGGAGAGATTTCGCACAACTGTCTTTCATTTTCTTTCTCTACATCCCCAAAACCCTTCAGAGCCTAAAGTCCTAACACCCAGAAGCCAGGGGGTAAGGCCGATGGGGTTTAGGGTTTAGGGCCCTAAACCCTAAACCCTAAACCCTAAACCCTAGGGGGGCTCATACTTTCCCAGCGCGAAGGGAACCTAAGGATTACTCGTCGTCTCGCATCAACCAGATGATCCGTTTCGTGGATTCTGCGACATTGTTGAAAAGTAACGGAACGCTGCAGATTTGCATATATATATATATATGCATCTACACATACATGTACATATATATATATGCATATGTGTACGGACGTATATAAGATGAATGTATGTCTGCATAAAGACTCCACATCATATCCCAAACCCTGACGGCCTCATCGGGCCCTGTCTGGCATTCGAAAGGCTCGCAGGTGCCACTTTCCTTCACTGCTGGTGTCTCGGGAGCCGGTAGGATTTAGAGCCTACGTTTAGGGTTTGGGGGTTGAGGATTTAGGGTTTATGAGTTTTGAGTTTTGGTCTGTGAGCTGATGGGTTGGACATCAGCATGTAAGGGTACTAGACTGAGGGCTGAGGGTCGTAAGTGCGGTTCAGAAGGGTCTTCCACTCTTTGTGGCATGCGGTCTTGAAATTTCCGGTTTAGGGTTGAAGGTAGGTGGAGGGGCCTTAATAATTAGAACAGGGTTTTGGGGAATGTTATACTATAATCATAATCAGGAACCCCCAAAATAGTATAGGGTATTATTAGGCCCTACATTAGGTGGAGGGAGGACCGCAGTGGTTCCAAGGTGATGGACACAATCCTAATGTAGGGGCCTTACTTAGGAACCCCTACCTCACTGGGCTTCATTATAAGGGGGTTTATATGGGATATCCCAACCCTAATTTTTGCTTATATGCTTTTTGGGGCCCAATTACCAGTGTCAGAGATCATGGTTTAGGCTTCTAGGGTTTAGGGGTTAATGTAGGGGCCTTGCTAGTGTCAAAAAATCATGGTTTAGGGTTCTAGGGTTTAGGGAATAATGTAGGGGCCTTGATAATTACCTGCACTTTTTTGGGGGGCTCCAGATTATAACTATAGTGTGCTGGGCCCCGAAACTCTATTCCAATTATTAAGGCCCCTATATTACAGTAGTAGATGGGCCTCAATGGTCAGATGTGGGGTTTGGGGTGGCACTTTCTGCTTCCAGGGGCGTTCTTTGTAATCACTCTGACCTCAACATTACAAGACCCTGGTGTTTTAAAATATCCTTATATCACTACAGATACACCCTACTCGTACCGAAGCCCTGTAATTAGCTCCCTTCAAACAGACATTCATTGAAGGTGTCCTTTAACCGGATATTCTCAGACTCAGGGGCTGAGTACCCTATCCCCAAAAAAGGTTAACCTTTTCACGTATGGTAGGGTTTAGGGTTTAGGGTTTAGGGTTTAGGGTTTAGGGTTTAGGGTTTAGGGTTTAGGGTTTAGGGTTTAGTATGGTAGGATGATATAGACCCCAGAAGGTTAAAGGTTACCTACTCAGCCACTAAGCAGACTACGTGACGATCCGTATAACCAAGTGCCGTCCTTGCGCCCCGCAGTCTTGACCACAAAGACTCCGATTACCCCCTAATACAGCAGGTTCATATACCGGCTTCTTACTATGTTGTCTGGGCTTAGGGTCTAGGGATTAGGGTTCAGGGACCGGCTTTTTACTATGTTGCCTTGAGGGGTCCTTGCAGGGACCTCCTAACCGCTGAAGCCCCAATTAAAGATACAGCCTGAATCTCACGAACCCAAACCACCCACCCCCCCCCTGCCATCCACAGTACCTAAGCCCCCAAAGCCGCGTTTCTAACACAACCCCAAAGCACTCAAATCCCTGAACGGTTCGCTGTCAAGGGCCTCTACCAGGGGTTCTACACAGGCATAACGGGTTCCGACATGGTCTGGAGGGGAACTTTCTAAAGTCTGAGATCCAAAAGAAGTAAACCTGTAGCAAACTCCTCAATATCTCAAGACCCACAACCAGCAATAGCCTTCTGACTCCTAACCTCCAGAGTTGCCTGCGCATGACTGTCCCCAATGGTTCTAATCTGAGCATGTATATATATATATATATACATGTATGTATGTATGTATGTATGTATGTATGTATGTATGTATGTATGTATGTATATATGTATGCATGCTCCTATATATATATATAAGTATATATATATATATGTGAATCTACCTATCTCTCTCTCTCACACTATCTATATATATATATACATATATATATATATATACATACATACATATATATATATATATATCATCTAGAGTAATATTAGTAATTAGAACTTATGCTCTTAACCCTAAGCCCTGAACTCTCTGAAATCAAGGAGGTCGGGCCTGATTCCGAACCCCGAATCCTCTTTGATATGGGGGTTCCCGAAATAGGGGACCCTAATATAGTACCCTAAATAGTAGGATCCCTATTATAACGACCCCAAAATAAGGTACGCCCAATAATTAGCCCTAGTAATCGGAAACCCCCATATGGGGTTTCGCAGCTACAAGGAGAATCCCTCACGCGAAAACCTGAAGCCTCAGCACCCTGAGGACCTGATTCCCGCCAAACCCACACCAAGAAAGCTAGCTACACCCAAAGCTGCAAAGAACTAAACCCTAAACCCTGAACCCTATTTAAGCCCTAAACTCTAAACCCTAAACCCTGAACCCTAAACCCTTAACCCTCAACCCTAAGCCCTAAACCCGGAACTGTAACCCTAAGACGACCGCCAAGACAAACTCCCCAGCCAAGAGAATCGCAGAATCGCCTTGGCAGACCTCCAAATCACCGAAACCCTGCCCACGACTTAGGCTCTTGCAGGGTTTAGGGTGTAGGGTAGGGTTTAGGGTTCAGGGGTTTAGGGTTTCGGGTTTAGGGGGTTTCGGGTTTAGGGTTTGGGGCTCTAGGGCTACTTCAGGTCTGTAGAGGGTCACATCCGGACCCTGAAGGCCACTAGCCTGAAAAGTCATCGAACGGAAGTGTCCCAAAACTCGAATCCTAAGTCACGGCAGCGCCTGGAAGGAAACCCCAAACCCACCCCTAAACCCCCAAATCCTAAACCCGAAAACCCCTAAACCCCCTAAACCCCCTAAACCCGTAACCCTGAACCGCTGAACCCTAAACCCCTGAACCCTCAACCCCTGAACCCTAAACCCTGAACCCCAAACCCCTGCACCCTAAACCCCTGAACCCTAAACCCTATACACCCTAAACCCTGCAAGACGAAGCCAAAGCTCCGTGAGCTGGAAGCCTTCCGTGCATTCCGAGCACTGGTTGTCGGCCGTGAGCTCCTTTTCTCTTTGGGTTTAGGGTTTAGGGTTTAGGGTCTTTAGGGTCTTTAGGGTTTAGGGTCTTTAGGGCTTCGGGTTTAGGGTCTTTAGGGTTTAGGGTTGAGGGTCTTTAGGGTTTAGGGTTTAGGGTTAGGTTGGGAATGAAATAGGGCTTTGGGTTTAGGGTCTTTAGGGTTTAGGGTCTTTAGGGCTTCGGGTTTAGGGCTTAGGGCTTAGGGTTTAGGGCTTTGGGTTTAGGGTTTAGGGTTTAGGGTTTAGGGCTTAGGGTTTAGGGTCTTGAGGGTTTAGGGTTTAGGGTCTTTAGGGTTTAGGGTTGAGGGTCTTTAGGGTTTAGGGTGTAGGGTTAGGTTGGGAATGAAATAGGGCTTTGGGTTTAGGGTCTTTAGGGTTTAGGGTCTTGAGGGCTTCGGGTTTAGGGTTTAGGGCTTAGGGTTTAGGGCTTTGGGTTTAGGGTTTAGGGCTTAGGGTTTAGGGTCTTGAGGGTTTAGGGTTTGGGGTCTTTAGGGCTTAGGCTTTAGGGCGAATACCACCAATACTGATACGAAAACTGCGAGGATGACGACCACTACTAATGATTACAACAGTAACTGTTATTATAGAAGTACTAAATCGTAATAATCTACCGACGCTGCATAATAGCATGTGCCACGAACCTGAGTTTTACATATGGCCCCTTACTACTTGGAATAAGCATTCGTAATTCTCGTAGAATGATACAATCGAGCCCTGAGGAGAACTACTCCACAAGACATGTTTAGACCCCCGATCCCCTACTATAGGGGCCTTGATACTGACCTCTATTATTGGGGGGGGGGGGCTCCTTATTATAACTAGAGTATAAATACACCCCAAAACCGAAACTCTAAAAAATGCCTCTAAAGAAAACCCTAAACTCTGCAGACTTAAGACTTAAGCGGCCCTAGCACTATCATGGCAGAGCCCCATGTCCTCAACGGTCCACCTGGTACCCTAATGCAAACTTTGAGGGAGCGCCGGTGCGTTGTAATCGAGCTCTACTAGCAGAAGCAACTCTGACCCCTATACTCTCCCAGTGGAAAAAGGCATCCAATCGGGCTTCCAAGGAATAAATGCTCCTTGTACCCTCAGCCTTCAGTCCTAACTTACATGCAACACTCCCTTGACTCCACCTGGACCGAACGAAGCCCTCCCAAAGCCACCCCTGTCAGAAGCTTGCGAGTTGAGGCCGATCTTTATGTGACCTGATGCTACCGTGAGTAAAGGCCCGACGAATCCGAAGAAAGAGATTTTGCATCCAGCTACAAGTAACAGGTCGCTCTAGTTATAGAATTCGTAAGACCCCCGCACACAAAGTAGGCGCACGTATGATGGATAGGTCTGAACAGTTGAAAAACCTCGAAATCACGAAACGTGCAAAACCCGGGATCCTTCTGCGCGCGGCAGGAGGCACAGTTCTCCATCTCTGTCAAATCGCACCTTGATGGAGCATATCGTCTGCATACCGATGCTTCCATCCGTCTTCAACTCTCTCTCTCTCCCTCTCTCGCACTCTCTCTCTCTCTCTCTCGCTCTCTATCCTTCTGGCATCTAAAGATAAATTACACATGTGCAAACATACATGACGTCATCAGTCGCTCCCACAAGCCTGAACAAGCCAGCGGTGCATAAATACATACCTACGTGGAGGACATACATAACATGTGTGATGTCACATACACGTATGCCCCCCTCCCCACTCACCGATCCAAGAGTCAGCTAGACCAGTAACGGCTTGCCGTTACTATGGTAGCACTAGAACTAGTCAGCATGTAACCTCGCAGGTTAAAGACAGCCGCGTTTTTTGTGGACTTGCGATGAATTCCACAGCTGGGTCTATAGCAAAAACGCCAAACTCAGGTTATGGTAGGTGATGGTGGTGCAGACCCTTGGGATCCTAGATCCCTTACAGTAAAGGGGTTTAGTTTAGTTTAGTTTAGTTTAGTTTAGTTTAGTTTAGTTTAGTTTAGGGTTTAGGGTTTAGGGTTTAGGGTTTACGGTTTAGGGGCTTGCTACCTTTACCAGACAATCTCAGAAACTCCAGTGTCCACTTGACTTGCTACTTACTACATGATCGGGGGTTCCTTACTATACTTATAGTCTAGTGGGCCCCAAACCCGTACTATTCTTAAGGCGCCATATTATCCCTGGTCTTGGACATGCACGGATTTTACCATAGAGCAGGAAGACCAAATGGGAAACTCTTCTCGGCTCTATTTGCTTAAGAAAGCACCCGACTGTGAGCTTCACGACAGCTGCGCCGGGATTCACCATCTCGCAGAATGATTCTCCAGCTTTCTGTTGGATGCTGTGAACCCTAACAGGCTCTCGAACCAACTCCCACTCTAACCCTGAACCCCAAACCCTAAACCCTAAAAGCCCTGAACAATAAAAATCCTAAACCCTAAACCCAAACCCCCAAGGCACGTCAGCTCGGAGCAGGTATGATCTGTGTTCTGCTTGTAGCCCGGCTTGCAGGTGACACATTGGTTGTCCTTCGTCAGCTCATGCCTCAGATGCAAGAAATATAGGGCTTCGGGTTTTGAACACTAGGAGCTCGAAATTTCCATACGGACACACGTACATGCATACATATGAAAACACACATGCTTGCGTACACATACTGCGCCGTGATCTGGAGATCTGGCTCTGTTTATTCAGAGGGTGAGGAGTCCACTGCATAAACCCAACCACAAAGCTCCTAGCTGGTCAAAGCCAAGGCTTTAATGCGCTTCGTGGTCATGGCTTTTGGGCTCGGCTCGGGGATTACAGGCGACATCCCAAAGATCTGAACCCAGGCATGTTTGCTTCCAGTTTGTGCCCCCTTGCACAGCCCGACACACTATATCCGAGACCCCCAAACCTAAAACCTAAACACTAAACCCTCAACCCTACACCCCTAAACCCTAAACCCTAAACCAAAGACGCCTAAACCACAAAAGCCCTAATCCCACACTATATCCGAGACCCCTAAACCGAAAACCCCTAAACCATAAAAGCCCTAGTGCCCACCATATCCGAGACCCCTAGACCTAAAACCCTTAAACCATAAAAGCCCTAATTCCCCCCGAGCCTCTTCATCACAGAGCCATGTCCGGAACTACACCCCAAAACCTTGAAACGTAAAAAACAACACCTGACAACCTAAGATATCATGTAGGGGCCTTAACAGTTCGAAAAGGGCTTTGGGGCCCATTATGCTATACATGTAATGAAGAACACGCAAAATGGGTATAGGTAATTACTTAGGCCCCTACATGAATTGAGCCCTAACGCTATGAACTCCTACTCAAAAAGCCGGCCAAACCTGCAAACCTAAACCACCACCAAACTATGAAATGAAGGCTTTTTTGCATAACCTATGACACCCCAAGACAGTTTTGGGTTTAGGCTTAGGGCTTAAGGTTTATAGGGTTTAGGCCTAAAGCAGTTGCTTCTGTGGATCCCCGAAGGCGAAGACAAGTCATCGACTACCCTATTCCAGCCAAGCTTCTGCGGGCGGCACTTAGCGCATGCACCATCGTCGCCCTCGGTGCAAGTTAGCCTGCGAGGCTTTGGATAATGTTGGGGCCTTAATAGCTAGAAAAGGGCTTTTGGGCTCCTTTATAGTGTATTTATACTAGTGAATCCTAACAACAGTATGGTAGTTATTTAGGCTTCTATAGTAAGCCAGACCCCTTTTACGGGCATCCGGTACGGTAGGGATCCTGGTATTGTAGGGATCAAGCTTGGTGGGAATCCAAGTACTAAAGGAGCAGTTCTGGCAGGGATCCTAACATGAGAGCTCTGATAGAAAGCCCCTAAACCCCTACACCCTAAACCCTAAACCCCTAAACCACAAAACCCTAAACCCCTGAACCCTAAACCCCACACTAAACCCCTAGGCTACAGCTTGAGGGCTTGGGTTTTACCTTGAGACTCCAAGTTACAAATAATGAACACGATCCCAAAGGGCCTAGGTACTGTTATGGGGGGGGGGG